AACGTCCCGGTTTGGTCGCGTTTCTGAAGATTTTGAACTGACCTTATACCTTATCTAATAATGCCTTTCGAGCCTTCTATCTTGTCTTTAGCAATCGACAGGAACCATCCTGTTTGAGGAAGTTTCAACCAATTTTCCAGTTTTGGGGTGCAAATGGTAAAAACTGTTTGATACTCAATTGAAAACCACTTTATATTTAAACTATTTTATTGACAACTGGTTACAAACATCTACCGAGACAATCTCGAAATCTCGAGCAACTCATTACTCAAATACTACGGTTTTCTGAATTACAACGCAAAACTCCCTACAGCAAAACCTGGGAAAACAGCCGAAACTTTGCAGCGCCACTTCGGGTTCCCACGCGAATCTAGCAGTGGGGCCGCAAACAACGGTCGTTTACTCAGGACATCAAAATAACAATGCAGCAAAACAAACAAATTAAACAAACATTAATAAGTAAGTGGAGCACTATCGTTCCGGTGTGCGTAGTCCTGAAAAGGACTGTTTCGCTCACCGGGAACATCATCCTCTACTTACTTATAAAATGTCTCCTGGGTTCAAACCTTTTACAATAGATTATGATACATTAATTCGTGGCAATAACAAAGAATGATGTACGATGTGATCGTTTGTTTAAAAAGAAAGAAAAGAAACAGGCGGGAGCATCTATAAAAGGAACGTTTATTTACTTCGAAGGTACAACTATCTGCATAAAGTAACAGCTTCACTTTCTGTTCTCTTGTAGCCAATCCCAGAGTTTTGTAACAGTCTGAAATTGAACGAAAGTAGTTTTACAATATACTTTATCTATACTGGGAAACTAAAATTTTTTACAACAATAAATATGGGACTGATGCCGATCGTGTTGACCGGCCAAAGAAATTTTACCCCGGCTACGTCGTGTTGACCGGCCAAAGAAATTTTACCCCGGCTACGTCTCTCTTCTCTTACTGACCAGTCAAAATGTCAAAAATAACACGATAATAACTTTAAAGTACAAGCCTAACAATCAAAGTGAGCCATTTCATATATTTCAATTAAAAAAATAAAGTGAAAAAAGATGCTCGTCCTCTTGAAATGAAATGGTGTGGAAATGTTTTTTTTTTTCCTGGTCGTTTATTTCCGTGTCCGGTCAAACTGATCGGCGAACCGAAAGTCAGTGATCGGAAAAATGCTCAGCTTGGCCGGACATTGTCCGCTTATCTGCCGTTACTTTGAGCTACGTACACCAATAAAAAAATTCTCTCAAGGTTAACTCGTACTGTCGGTAAGAGTGGGTGGATAAAACTGAAGGGTTGGTGCAAGTAGTTTACGTTCCGCCAATACTTTATTGCCACATCTACGATTTTCTTTTAAAGCAATTTGCTAAAAAAAAGAAGAAATCTTCTGTGTGCCGCAATCATCTGACATAGACAGGGTAGACGCAACGAGGCGAAACTTCAAGCATGGGGCAGAAACATGATGATATTTTGCAAGTATCCCTACATGAGAATAAGTCACGAAAGGTCAACCAAATTAATTTTTCTAAAACGTAACTTTTCTGTTAAAGCAAGCTTCATCTACGCAGATTTGGACACTTCACCGTCTCTCTATAGATACACTGTATACACCCTTCACGGACTTTGTCTACAGTCTTTGTTTATCTCGTCAGTCTAGTGGGAAATTTATTACCTACAAGCCCAGGGGTTTCCACTGGGTTTCTTTGCTATTAGGTTTATAACATATATTCATGTAATTAGCTATAAATTATGGAACAGTTTATAAGAATCTATCGATACTGCGAGAAAGAGCGCTTTACAATAGAAACGAGCAAAGAGAGAGCTCCGCAATTCTCAAGATTTTACACACGTTTGTATGGTTGCATGATCTATAAAAAAGTCTGACAAGGTTTCAGGAAATTGTGGAGCCATATTCTCCCAAACTTGGTAACAGCACTGGTTTAGTTTCCATCTTACATCACATCATAAACATAAAAACATCACTTTATTATTTATATAGCGCAAAATACATGGGTATATGATGTAATGCTCTTTTATGGTTATGTATGAGCAGAGTTGCCAGAGGGCAATTGTTTTTACGTCATTGTGAACATTACAATTACATTACAACAAACAACTTACCCCTTCATCTGTCATCTTAAAAGAACTTCTCATGTAGTTCTTGAACTTATCTACTTTCTTTGGAAGACTTGGTGTCTGCAAAATGAAAACATCACTTTTTATCACCCCGAACTGGTTATGAGAGTCTTCCACCTCACGAATGCAAAACTAGGAGACATAACCAATAAAAACGGCTTACTCGGCCGTCAGCCTCGGTGGATAACATTCTCCTTTGACCTGCATAATTCTTCACAGCCTGCTCAACCTCACTCAATAATTGCTAAATAGTCCATAAGTAAACAACTGTTAAGACGGATCGAAACCCACCAATTTTAGAGTTTTCATAGCCAACAACATCACGGCTAACTGACAGACGACCAATAACATCAGGACTTAATAAATTAGATAAATATATTACCATAAATAAATTACCACCAACTAATGTGATACAACTCATTTTGAGTCTGAAGATGACTACCGCACAGGTTGTCGAGACGTCAGTCGAGGCGTCAGGACTACCATTACCTGGACGATCATACTCAACCAACTTATGAAGTGACTTAAAATATTCCAAATGTGTTTCTATTTTGTTTTTCTCGCTTGCACAACAATTCACAGTGAGCCAGCCACACATTAAGAACTCCATAAATCTCACACAACAAACCTTTTTTAATTTTTCTTTGATTTGGTCCATGCTCAGCTGCAACAAAAGAAATTGTTATTGGGTTAGTTAATAATTAATTGAACTTTATAATTATGTGAATGACTTTCGCACGGTAGAGTTAAACATCGCTCACAAAAAATTGGTATGAATACATTGTAGCTTTAGAAACCCAGTTTTGATTAGTGTAAACAAAGGAAAATCTTGATCTTGACATTATATCACCGGGTGGATTAAACTGCAACATACGCGTATAGTTAAGAATTTGCCCACTGCAAATAAGTGATTTAAAATATATCTTTCATTATCAAGTTTCGTTTCCACTTTCACATTGCTCATTATTACACTTTGTTTCCCCCGCCACCCCCCAAAAAATTGTGCATAAGAATGGTCCATTTCCGAATTGCACCAAACCTCTGTTTCAAAACGAGGCTAAGGGCGAAGCTATTGAAAAGAAAATGATTTTTTTATTCTCATTGTTACAAGAGAGGTTTTGCCCTTATTCTCGTTTTGAAAGTGAGAGCTATTGGAACTCGAAAATGGCCCGTCGGTTTCAATTACTTCTGAGTATTACAGTTGTCCCAAGAGAAAGCGTAAGACAGTGTCTCAGCAAATTTTCAGGTGTTAACAAGATTAATTATAGGCCTAACAAAAGTAGCGAATATCAAAGATTCCTTCTAATGATGCATATAACATATTACAATACACATGTATCTTACTGTTTCAGGGGTTTTGGGAGCAGGTTTTTTAGCATCTTTCCCTCCGGTTTTTGTCGTACTTTGCTGTTTAATTGAAAACACAAACAGTCATCAACACAGCTCAATAAAATTTAAAAAATCATCTCTCATTTTACACAGTCAAAGCCATAATCCCAGTCACCTTTTGGGAAATGGCCAACTGGATGCTTACCGGTTAACCAAATCTAAAACTTAACCAAGAAGACGTGGCGACAACAAGTACTGTCCAGCACATACTTGATGAATCCACCTCAAAGTGTTTTTTCTCTCTGTTTGTGCTAAAGTTTAACCATCTTTCAGGCAAGGCTGTGCTTTAAGAAAAATTCTAGGGAGCCCAGTGCTCTGAAACTGTGAAATCCAGCCAGGGTGCCCAGCATGTGATGTCTAAGCAAAAACTGGACTTTCATTACTTTTACGGGACTGTGGCCATATAGAGAAAAAAACGTTCTGAATGCACGAGCAAAATGACGAGTTTATGCGACAACGTGACAAATGTATGCACTAAATGTAGAATGTAGAACGAAAAAAAAAAAAAAAGGAAAATCTCTATGAGCCTAGACTGGATATTATCCTCTCCATAAACTCTCTTCCTGTTTTCGCCAAAAGCATAATTATTACATTAGCTTTGTAAAGATTGCTACAAAAATGAACATAAAATGCCTCTCTCTTCTAAACGCCTCCTATCAATTCAAACGCCCTCTCTTGGGGCATCTATTAGACTATTATGCTGCACTGTACTTCATACAGGCTGGCTTAGCACTGTAAGATGGGTTTGACTGCAATGCTGAATTGTACCTTGACATGCATTGTATCTCACAGGACTTTATACGCTCTACATGTATATAATTTCCTTTGTCCAATCTTACCCTCAGTGTATTATAGTACAAACAGTTAACAATGCTAGTCCACTACACATCTACATGTACGTCATGAAACTACTCACAAACCTGCTTGGCTGCTGTCTTTGGTGGTTTCTCCTTCTCTTCTGCTGTTTTTTTGCCTGGTTTGGAGACTCCCTTTACAGAAAACAAAAGAAACAGCAACAATTTTCTAATGTACGCAAGAAAGAGTGGACAAAACTAAAAAAATATTAGATACAAGCACACCTTATGAAATGTGCATAGTATGGCTGACAAGGTCCCTCTGGCCTCCAGAGGCTTGTACGTGTTAATAACCTCCTCAATGCCTAAGAATTTGTCTTTTCTGGGTATTTCTACCTGTATACACCATGACTGTCTAAAACACAGACATCACACAGTGGTGCAGCTACTTACATTGGTCAATGGTTTTTTCTGCTCTGGTTTTCCTCCCTGTTGTAAAGAAAGAAAGGATTCAAACAATCTCTACCATGATCTTAAAGCAGGGTTGTCACTAAGATTTCAAGTTGCCGGGTAAATACATCAAGTAGGCGGGGAATCAAACGGCTAGGGATTTCTTTTGGTTCTATTTTTCTTCTATTTTCCAATAAAAGTAGCTGGGGACCAGTCTCTTAGTAGCCGAGAAAAATCCCCGGCCCCCGGCTCTTAATGACAACCCTGTCTTAAAGGATCTGTGTCACGTATTTGATCAAAATCTAAACAATGGGAATTCGCACCAAAATTGAGCAGAACATAAAAAAACTGCTCAGAACATTCAAAGAAGATACTTGTATAAATAACACAATGAAATATAAATACAAAAAGAGGCACAGGTGGGCAAAACTTAAAAGAGATTGAAAGAGATTGCAATAGGCCTTTTGCATTAGTTGATAATGTGATCAACTTTTGGTAAACACGAACAGCTCGCTTTTGAAAATTTTGTTAGCACGAGCTGAAAGAGCATCTTAAAATTAAGTAACCTGTAAATTTTCAGCCATATATCTCAAAAGTAGTGATTGCAATGGCTGCTGAAAGTTAGAAGTATTTGTATCAAGAAAACAACTTTTGCCACCCATACACACTTGAATGGTTTCCCATACCAATCCTTGTAAATTTCAAAATTTTCAAACTGTTAAATTACGGGGCTCAAATCTCCTTTTAATTCATAACAGGCACTTTGGGCCCTTAAATGCGTAAGGGAAAGACTTAACGACAGTTTAAAAATTGCAGAATTTCCAAAGAGTAAACCACTCAAGCGTGATTTGGTGGCAACAGTTGTTTTACTCATACAAATCCTACTAACTTTGGTGGCCATTGCAATCGTTACTTTTGAGATATATGGCTGAAAATTCAAAGGTTACTTAATTTTAATATGCTCTTGTAGCTCGTGCTTACAAATTTTTTGAAAAGTGAACTGTTTTCATGTCTACAGAAAGTTAATCACATGATCAACAAATGCAAAAGGCCTATTGTGGTTTTTGAAAACTTGTTACTATGGTTAGCCTAACAGTTTTTCAAAGTTCATTATTTTGTTTGACACGAAGCTAGAATTTTGTCATTCATAATTGATTACTATCATTCCAAAGCAAATAGGGCCATTTCCACAACTTAAGTGAAATTTTCAAAGGTGTAAATCATTTCTCAAGCTGGGAGCAGGAATTGAATAGAATTAAGTGATCTCACATCAAACCTTATGATAATTATTTTCCCATGACCAAAGAAATCCACAGAAAAAGAATCCTCACCTTCTTCTTTGCCACCAAACTGTCTGCAATTTCATCTTCTTCCTCACTTTCATCTTCCTCGTCTTCATCATCCTCCTCTTCGCTTTCATCTTCGCCAGACTCGTCTTCTTCCTCCTCCTCCTCCTCCTCGTCTTCATCTTCATCATCCTCCTCACTTTCCTCCTCGCTTTCGTCTTCCTCTACACTGTCCTTCTTTGTCTTCTTTGCTTTGGCGTCTTTTTCTTCTGTTTTATTCGTCTGATTAAAAGCAACATCCATAATCAAAACAAACAATTCACGCGCACTCTTTATAATACATTTGCATAATCAAGGCCGTACTCTAAGGAAAATGGAAGGGAGCCCAGTGCTCTGAAACTGTAAAATCTAGGGTGCCCAGCATATTATTTGTATGAAAAATATGAGATTTTCTAGTCGCCCGAGGGCAAAAGTTAGGCGCCAGGGGCCACCGGGCTCTGCTAGAGCACAGCCCTGATAATGCATTCTACGAATGACAAACAGCAAAAGTGCCATAGTATGTGTGCACCTACATCTGTAACATAGTGACACAAAAAAGCATAAACAAAAAGGAAATAGTTAGCCATGCAAATTGCATACATTTGACATTTAGATAACCCTGAAAAAACTGTTGCAAAAATAGCCACTGTTACTGTAAGATGTTTTTCTGCTTCATTCTTTCATCAGAGTGAATGCTTGAATGCAGTGAGTATGCCTTATAATAATAATATTATTCCTTTCAGCTTTTTTCAATTTTTTTTCATTTTCCTTTGATAACCTTATACATGTATATGTACATGTATGTTACTTTAATTTAATGACCATACAATATTGTCTCCAAGATCAACATAAGGGGTTCGGACCCCTTTGGCGTGGATCAAGGCAAAATCGTGACTGTTTTCCTGTACAGAGAATTTCTAACAGAGGCCAGAGCATGCACTCCCACAATTTTTTCCACTTTCATATATTACCAGAAACCCCCATTTCCATCATTTTTAGACAGTAAAAAATCTGACTCTTTCTGTTGGTGCCAAATTTGGGAGGATAATGTTAAAAGATTACTTAAAACCAATTCTTACGGATGCTTTTGGAGTTGTCTCTGCATTTTTTTTCTGTTTATCCTTTTTGTCTACTTCCATTTTCACAGGCTCCTCACTAGATTCATCCTGATCCTCATCCTCCTCTTCCTCGCCACTTTCGTCTTCTTCTGAAATTAGCAACAAAAGAAATCTCGGTTGGATTCTAGTGAGTGTTATTATTTTTTACATGTATATGTACACAGTAAAAGCAACAAAAGAAACCCCAAATTATACACAACGTATATGTACATATAGTGCACATTTAAATCAATACATGATTTAACTACAAACAATATGTTATTCAAAAACTGCTGCATATTACCCTCAGATAACAATTTATTGCATGTTCTCTAAACATGCAAAACAGGTGAGCAATACAAAGTTTAAGTAAAACTAGCCTACACAAATTTACATGTATGTTTTGCCTACTACGTACAAAGTGGCAAGGTCTACTGGGAATCTGTGAAAGACACACAAAGGTTGTGTGTAAGTTAACAGAGCTCTTTGTCTCCCATGAAGGCTAACTATTGTTTGGAAACTGCCTACCTACCCCTCCCCTAAGCCAACATTTTGTCCTAAGTAAATAGTAAGTGTTAGTATTAGCTTAGGGGAGGGGTAGGGCAGTTTCCCAGAAATGTACAATGATCTGCTTACCATCTTCAACACGAGCAAGTTTCTTAGGAGGTCCTTTAGGAGTCTCGGAAGGAAGTGGTCGTTTCTAGGAAAATAAAATGAACAAACCTTGTTAAAAGAGAGATTTAATTTTGGCATAATTTATTATTAAAAGCAAAAGTTTTTTATTATATACCTTTGAAGTTGAATTTGCCTCTGAATTCAGAAGATTGGGGGCTTCCTCATCTGCAAGATAAAATAAACACTCTCTTAAAACAAAACCTTTTCAATTTACAAGTAGAAAAAATGATGAGAGACAAGGTTTCTTTTCATATTTTTCACATCAGCTAATTGACATCATCATACATGTTTATCATAATATGAGACCATCTTTTGTTTATGAATTTTTACCACATTTACATTTACATTGAAGTTGGTATTAGTAATTGGCAAAACATACCAATGACAGTAGAGTGGAACCAGTGGTTAATACACACACCAAGAGGACATGCCATAGTGTCCATTATTATCTGGGTGTCAGTATTGAGTGGGGTCTCAAAAAAAATGTCAGGGACACATGTTTTGTATTTGATGAGGAAACATTGTTTTAATTTCTTATCCATAACTTTTACAAGTTCATCCTCAGGGTTCGCAAATACGCCAAATTTGGCGTATTTTACGCCAACATTGTTCAGATGACTCCACTGAGGTTACGGAGGGAGTCACTTTGACTCCAAAAATTTTCGGTAACAAACAGGGAGCCACTTAGACTCCAGACATTTTCGGTAACAAACACAGTTTTATCCTTCCCTTTTTCGCAACAAATACAATTTATGTTAATTGTAAACGTTGTAAACCTTATTAATTAAATCATCGAAATTAAAGAATTATACTCCACGACAAAACAGGAAGAGGGTAAATTACGATCAAAGTTTACTCGATGACCGCCATCATGGATTTGAGCTTTCCAGGTCAGCGCACCGCCACAGCTACTTCGTGTATCCCTCACGATAGTGTATACATGCCGGGACCACGTGCTGGAAAGTCTGATACTTGACTCCAAATATTCCAAAATGACTCCAAAATTTGTGAAGCAGAAGTCACACTGACTCCACTCATCAATAAAATTTGCTAACCCTGATCCTTAAGAACTCAAAATTATTCATCACTGTCTCAGACTAAAAGTTAAGCTACCTTTCAAACCATGTATAAGTATTTTGTCTTGAAATGATACAACAATAGAATCCTGCATCCGTGACTAAATTAACGTTGATTTTGCAACTCAGCTAGGTGGACTGAACATCAGACAGACAATTAAAAGGTCATTTGCCGTTAATTCTGCTAGGTTTCTACTGGTGAGCTATTCAGTCATAGACACTGTGCAGATAACCAGTGTCTGTAATGCCAGGTTGACAATATTTGAGAAAAGTGTCTGTATGTCTGTATTAACCAGTGTCCATATTATATGTGGGTAAATTTTAGAGTAAACATATGCGTACGTGCACATGTATGAGCTTTTCACTGGACTAATGAAACTGTCCGTTATATTATATGGGTGTCTGTATTAAGTGGGTGTCTATAGAGTGTGGTTCCACTGCACTATATGCACTCTACTTAATTAAATCATTTACCATCATCGCTGTCCTCTTCACCTTCACCTTGCTCGATGAACAATTCTACAAATACAAATCTCAATTTTAAAAAAATGGAAATATAAAAAAAGTTTTCACAAAGTGTTAATGTTTCTCTGATAAGCATTTTTAGAATAGGAACTAGCTAAGGTACACATAGAAAAATACTGCAGAAATGAACTTCATCTCACAACCAAGTTAAATGTAGTTTATAAAAGTCAAGGGATATTATGATAAAAAGCAAAAAACCTCTCCTCATTCTTGGGTTATTGAAAGTAGACAAGAGCTAAAGCAACTATTCAACAAACTGCCATGTTTAATCCTTTAGCATGCTAACAGTGAGCATGTGTAGATGTAAAACAACAAACGCATAACCCGTGAAGGGACAAAGTTCGATAACACAACACTCATGATACGATGTACCAAAAATATAAGATCAAAAAAAAAATCAGGGCAGTTAAAAACAGCTCTTTTTTCAAAATGTCTTATTATGTTCACAATACTTCTGTAGTTGTAGTATTTAAATATATAGACATACTTTTTTACCTTAAAAATTGCTAGTTAACTCTTACATTACCTTGGTAAACAGAACCAGTGAGATGAACAGGACCAGAACCTACAAACATGTCATTTTAGTCAGAAATGCACACAACAGAATGGCCATCGGACAATGTCTGAATAAAATTAATTGCCTAATGTTTGGCATAATAACATTTGCAGATGGACATGATGATCAGACGCTGACTTGAACAAAAAACTCAGTTACACTTATAAACACATACAAAATGTAAAAAAATACATCCGAGTAAATAAAAATTAATAATCCACAGCCTATTTGTGAGATATTCATATTAAAAATAAATATTACTAACCTTCTACGAGTTTAAAAACAACAGATGATGGGAATCCTAAACTGAGTCGACACTACAAGGAGCAAAACATAAATAAATTTTAACGTAAATAATAACCATTCTCTAACAAAATTATATTAGTTTCAGAGTCATTTTTAGAACATTTTAATATTTGAAATTTGTAGCCAAAAGACAAAACAAGCAACGGTGTTTACAAGATCTCTCATATCAAGTACAGTGTACTTAACACTATAAAAAATAATTATAACGCACTTATTGTTATTAAACAGTGTTTACACTTTGACTTACATACATGTACATGTACATGCACCTGCCTCAGTAGCTTGATACATGTGTGACAGCTTGGAAGAATTGAACAAATGAAAAAGGGCACAATAACGCAAAATGGGAGAAAACTTCACACAAACTTTTCCTGTCTACTTCACATCTGTTACTCAATTACTGTGGATAAATTGCCTTACAGGAAATGACTGTATCTTGCATATTTTGTGAACCAAGGGAAGACCAAAAAACAGTTTTGAAAACACCTGGTTCAAAGTGAATAGCTTATTTTTAGAAAACCCCAAGTTGACATTTTAACGTACAGTGTAATAGATACATTATGCAGCTGTATAATCATCATGCAACAAAAAGCACATTGATGTGGGTGTACTGCATCACTTACCTGATCTAGTCTTCCAGATTGTAAATTGAGAATTGTGTGGGTCACGGAGCTGTCACTGCTGTCTGTTGTTGTTACTTCCACAATGTTTTTCTCACTAGATTTAGCTTTAGCACCAAGACAGGCCTGTAGACAAACACAATAATATAGCATCTATCGACAATATTCATGTGCACTGTACATTTCAATGTTGGTATACACTACAAAGTTGCAAAATACTGAAAGGAAACCAAGTCCTAAAAAATGTTTTCTAATACTTTGTACAACATCAAAAAGAGTTTGTTTGGTGTATCACATACATGTCTTTCCATACAATATAAGAATGAAAAAGAGATTGCTAAAAATTGTAGTTCTGGAGCCACATACATGGTAATTGATAGGCAACTGTGTTGCCAAAGGGCATTCTAAAATTAATTGTAGAATATTCAGGGTACTCTATCGAATGCTCCTGCATGTGTAAATAGTATCAATAAAGTAATCGTGAACTTATCTGGGACAACATACAATGTACATGAACAATGTTCTGTCAAATGGTCTAAAACCATAGCTATGTGTTCGCTATCGACAGTAGTCAGTCCATAAGCATCTGATCCTGGCTGGTTAGAGTGCTAGTCATATCCGTTAGTGATGTTAATCTATATATAACATCTGATTCTTGTCCACTAAAGTGCTAGCACTATCTGTGCATTAGTCAATTCATGTGTGTAATGATCTTCGCCCGTTAGAAAACTAAGGGATAACTAACATTGCGGTATTAAAGTTGAGCAGTCTGTTGTAATTCTCAACTCGATATTTCCTGCAAGAATCAAGCATCAAGAATTGAAAAGCAGTCATCGAGAATCAAGAGTTATACACAGTATCCCTTGATTTCACTAACATCATACTCTTTTGCAAGAAGGGAAATTTTGAAACAGAGGGTCAAAACAAAACAAGCGCAAAGCACGTGGAATTTATTGGAAGCTTCAAGCACATTTAAATTTATTTCTTCTGTATTCTTGATACACTAAAGCTTAACATAATACTTCAGTTTCGATATAAAAACTGCTTCGTGTACTGAAATGTTTATAAGCTCCATAGATCTTGAAACAAATAAGAGTTCCTTGATCAATTACAACTCTCAGAGATAATCCTCCAAGGACAAGCTAACTGCAAGCTAAGCAGGCTGAGCTGAGTTGCTAGGCCAATTTTGGCAACCGAGTTTTCGAAGAAAAGCCCTCGATTCTGTCTTCCTTACCAAGTCCTAAACACGTGTCAATTGTCTGCCACCCTTTCTTTGCGATAACGTTTGCCTTCAAAAATTTTCGAACTCAAAATCTAGTGGTCCCTTCGCACGTGGTGTAAACAAACGTTTCATACCTGTGACACTACTAATTTCTGTTCAATATCAGCTTTGCTCAATTCCTCATCTTCAGAATCCCAGCTATACTCTCTCTTTTCTTTGTTTAGCTCACACCCTGTGGAAAGTGGGAGTTAATAAAGGATCACTATGGTAAAACTGCACCAAAATATAACGCCTACCCCAGAAAAACTCCTTCTCCATGGCCGCCATTTTGAAAAGAACGATTGCGCACGTGGTGCAAATAGTTGAGCGCACACACCGGAAGTTGAGACCGCTGGCCATTATAGGTACGCATGGAGTGTAAACGAGTAGTAGTCTTCATGTGTTCACATGTGAAAATATCCCCGTTGTTATGGCTATTTAATAAATCGTGCCTTTCATACCAAAAAACTATTAAAGTGAAATGATTTGGTAGTTCATTGGCGGTTTATATAATAAATGGAACATTACATGGCCGCTTGGAGATACGAAATTTCTCTTCTCGTGTTGAAAAAATATTTCACGAGTGAGCGCAGCAAACGAGTCGAGTTCGCCGCACTCACTCGTGAAATATTTTTTCACTGCCGAGAAGAGAAATTTCGTATCTCCAAGCGGCCTTGTAATATCCTCTATAAATTACATCGCGAGTAAATTGATCAGTCAGGTCAATCTGACCGTTATTTTAATACCTTCAACCGACGTGATACAACCCACTTTGACTCTAAAATAATAATAATAAAAAAGGAAAGGTAAAGGCATACTTGAGCCAAGGCCCAAACTGCCGGAGCTTATAACGGTTTCCGTAGCATGAAGCATGCCTAGAAGTATTGCTACTCCCTCCCTGGACTGGATGATAGTCCATCGCAGGGTTAAATTACTCCCCCCCGCAATATGTCGCCGAAACCCATTTATACACCTGGGTGAAGAGACACAAAGTTGAGTAAAGTTCCTTGTCTAAGGGAAAAACGCGACGGGCGAGGCTTGAAACCCGGACTTCCTGATCCAGAGTTCGAGGTGTTAACCACTCGGCCACACACGCCTCCAACTCTAAGACAAAAATAGATAAATTTCCGTTAATTACCCTCGGCAGTATTTACAAAACTGATGCTGGTGGGGCCGAGAAAATACCGCAAACATATAATTCAAATCAAACATATATATAATGCAGCGGGTTAAAAATCCTAACTGGTCGGAGGCAAACCAGTTGGCTAATAATGACAAACGTGGTCAAGGATTTGAACTTAGGACTACCGTGAACAAATCCAGCTAGCGATCAGGGTGGGACATGAACTCGAGGACTCCAAATTTCAAGTCCAGCAGTCTAACCGCACGGCCACCCTCTGCCACCTCATAAGAAGGAAGATGAAGATGATGAGCCTCTGAAGATGACTATCGCACTGGTGTTCGAAGCGTCAGTCACTGTCAACAACATTCCTACTCGGGACTGCACTACCCCAGACGATCATATTCCCCCCTATACTAAGACTTCAGTTCAAGTGAAAATAGCTTTTCACAAAGAAATGACATAATGTCAAATAGATAGTTGCATTTATCACTCACTTCCACTTTCGACCAAGTGCATCGAAAGCGTAGCACATTTTTTTGAAGTTTTGCTTTGGTTTCCTCTGACACGATTTAATTCAAAAGTCAGAGGAGGTCTGGCAGGAAATTGACATAGTTCGCTTTACTAAAATTTACCCAGAGTAACTTCTTTTGTGCTCTATAATGCACTGAAAACTAGCAGCTCCGGAATTTAAGTCCGATTTGTTTCCGCTCTGTCGAAAAGACTTCAAACAGTTTCGAAGCATTGTGTGAATAGAGCGCCAAGACCAGAAATCACTTGTCGTGGCGACAAAGTTGCTTTGGCCGCGCATGGATCGTTCGCGCATGACAAAAATTAAATCAAAACTCGCAGGTGCACCGTTCCCAATAAACTATGAACAGGATACAAACTGTCGATTTTTTTCTTTCAACATTGAAACGGATTTTCCCGACTCAATTACCCACTATGTCGTGATTCAAACTAAAACTAACATACATTCTTATCATTTTCTCTCTTGATTTCTGCCTTTATTATCACTATAACCTAAAGCTGAGGCTATTGCTCAGGACGTACGTGAAATTTATCTTTGTGAACAGAAACACCTGGTTGTTGTGAAATCTTTTTAAGGTGTTTGAACCTAGCAACTGAGATGCTGTTTTTTTGCAAAAACTTCGCTAAACGTGAGGACCATGATGATCAGCCAATGATGCTTAGCAACAAAAACCTGAATTCCGAAAATCGAACTTGTTCAGTGGTTCAGTCATACAGTTTAACGATCACTGCAAAACAAACACGATAACAATATATTTCCGGCTATGTACGCCAATGCGTCAGAGGGTAAACAAAACCTTTTTTTTCGCTTTCCTTGACGTCGTTCCGTTTTGTTACACAGAACCCTTTTATCCAGTTAAGCCAAGGCCAAACTTTGCACTTTTCATGAGACGAACCAACCTCAGCGGATTAGGTTCATGAAATGTTCGACGTCTGTATCGAGTAAAGTTCGTATGAACGTGCGTTTGGATCGACTAGCAGTCAAACTTTTGTAGGCCGACCCAAATTACGTCTCTTGAAAAGTTCCGTCCTTGGCCCTGCATTCTCCATCTTAACGAATTCGAACAAAATGTACAAAAACTAACAATAAATAACTACGAGACCCACAAATTGAACGCTGCGTTTTCCGTCAACTTACAAAAGGTCCTTTTCCGCTTTTTGCTTCGGCCAGGAAACTGTTAATTAAAGTTTTTCTTTAAAACTAATCTTTCTACCTTTCCTTAAGTGTTTGTGGGTTTCTGGGAAAGGAAACGTGACTAAACTAAATATGCATCAAGATTGTACACAAAAGTTTGAAAGGTATCAGCGTGGTGGCATTCTCGGCACACATCGCCGAAGTAAACTACGTACTGACTGATTTGGTAGAGACGTGACTTTCATATCCAGACATACATTGTCACCAAGATAGACCTATCGGTAAGTTGTCGACTTTTCGAACTTAATTTAATTTTTGCTGACAAAAAATTGCAGTTTTAATCATAATTTGAAAATATTTCTGGTGATCAGAAACGATAGTCATACAATATTCTTTTATAACATTACTGCTGTCTTTTTTCCCAAAGGTTTCTTTTATCCTGCACTGGAGAGTCATAAGCGATCTTTCGAAACAGCAAAGAAAGTAACTTCGCTTATTTGCTGTAAGTAAGTAATTAAAACTCGCTGTTTATCAAGCTTTCTAAACGCTGATCAGTGAGGGAGTCAAAACAGTTGGAGCTCACAAAAGTACTAGTCAACTTGATATACACGGTACTCGCAGACAATCTGCGTTTGGTGTGTGACAAGTTAATCTTAAACCTTCTTGACAGAGAAAGACATAGTAATTACTGAATAGCTTCTTATTCGCACAACTTCATATTACATTAAAAGCGGTCAAAAATCTACATACACCCTTTAAAAATTAGGTATAGTTTATTAAGCTGGAAAGCTAATAATTTCTTTTTTTGTCGGCAGTTTTAGCTTCAGACCTGGGAAGTTTCCGAGAACATTTGGCAATATCGGTAAGAGTTGATCCGACCTTTTGCAGGCCGTTGTAATAAACCGAGCAGCAATGCAATGGCTCCGGCTTTGAATAAAAATCCTGAAAACGATTACTAAAAATTTTAAGAACCAAAAATTTCTGAAAATCCCATATCTTTTCTTTCGTCTAGCTTCATTGGTCGACAGAAAATAATTATGATAAATCAAGCTTACAGGGACGTAAACCCTAAAAAGGGAACCAAAATAGGACCGGACACTCATAAATGTCAATCTAACAGGAATACGTCATTTTGTTAACCAGTTACTTGAGAAATTTCTAAAAGTAACGTGCAAAAATTGACATTCTGTACCAATTTTTCTCATTTTCTCTGCACTCCGAAATCGCCTTTAATTTCCAGCTGACTTGTTGCAAATAGTTGTTACTTTGCGAGTTTTATCCTTGATGTTGCCATCACCAACGACAACGCCCGAACTGACCCTAGATTGGGCACATTTTCCTGCTCAACCTGATAAAATTTAATCAGCATCGCACTTTCATTCAAGCGACGGACGATTTTAGATCAACAATGATGGCTTGAGAGATAATTTGGTCAGGAAAAGAGACTACGACGGTACAGAGTTATAATCATTGTTAAAAATCTTCCCATTGCTCTCGGATTGTAGACGAGGTACATACGTGAACACGGCTACGTGCGCCGCAGAAGTGGGCTTGTTTTTGAGGTGCCCAGTTCTTGAATAGCGTCTCATTTAGGGTTTTGTGATTTCTTGACAGAGTTCATTTAGATAATTCAAAATGTACAAGCTAAATTAAAGGACAACGCCCTGTTAAAAACTAAACTGACCCGTTACAACATCAAAATTGAACGTGTAGAAAACAATATTCATGTATAACAAAAGAAATACCTGTCCACATAATTCTGCGTGGCCCGTTTTTCTTATATACCCTGTCAATTTTTGAATAAGTTTAACCTTATACACGGCATCAGTTATGAAAAGTAGGAGATACTCATTTACTTGATAAGTGTATTATTCTCCTCTGTATATTCCTAAGCTTTTTGCTGGCTTCAACAGGAGACGGTATTTACAGTCGGTCAGAACTGGAGTGTTTCTAATCCATTTTACCAATAATAAGGTGAAAATTGAATTTGTTGATCGCCTTCAGGGCCTCCAGGGCCCCGATTCTCCAAAGGCCCGTTAACTTTTCGGGCCCGGCAAAATTTAAAATCAAAACCTGTTGAATAGTAGCACACTTCCTAGCTCACAAACTGGTCAATTTTGCTTCGTTAACTAAAATTCTCCTTGTATCATTTTCGAAATTATTGAAACTTTGATCTTGAATGCAAGCATGGCAAACATAAAACAGCCTTTCGGGCCCGAAAAGTTATCGGGATATTCGAGAAACAAGTCCCTAAACCACTGCATGCACCATGCTGCAACTGGTTATTATGAATAGAAAAATTCAGTTATACTTAAGGCATTTTTCTCTGCCATAAACGCTGTTTGAAGTTGGTGGAGCTGTATATGTTTTTCTCGAGAATTCAAAGATACATTTGAGGAAAGTTAGTTTAAACGCGTATTTCAAAGCCATTTTGCATTTTTGGTCTTAATTTATTCACTCTTGGGTTCAACGGCCGAACGATGTACGTAGCTTAAACCAGTC